AGCCGAGTCAACAACGTAGCCTAACTGGGCACCCTCGGGGCTCTGCCCCAAAAACTTCAGGAGGGCTCAGAGTTCCGCACGGTCGACGCTTTGCTTACCCGAACTGCCTTCTCCAGCGACAAGGGCAAGTCTCGACGCGGGGACCGACACTGGGCGCTCTTCTAAACTTAGCCCAACATTCGCGACGCCCCCAGACACCCCTCTGAGCCCACGGTCCATCGAAAACTCCCCCCCCCCACTAGCGTCCCCACACCCCAGATGCGAGACCCCTCCACTTGGGGAAAGGCACCTGAGGCCGCGAAGAGAGGCGAGCCGGGAGGAAGGGGAACGTGGGTCCACGACCGAGGGGTGAGGCCGTGGGGCCAGAGGGCAGGGCGCTCTTCGGCTGCTGCGACCCCTCGCCGAGCAAAGGCCTCCGAGATGTCCTGGAACTTTGAATGGCAAGGACATTCCCCAAACCAGTGAGCATTAGTCTCTGCCGATACCCCGCAGCGCGGGCGCAGTCCTGTTTGAATTCCGAGGTCATATAAGCCACAGCACGGAGCTCTTCGGGAATAGCGAAAACATGCCCCGAGGGCGCCGCCCATCTCCGCGGCCACTCTACAGTCCACCCCTGGCGACGACGGCCGAAATGGGCCCCCAAAGGTTGCGCCGCCGACGCTTGGGCCCCATATCATGAATCCTCTGTGCCGTTTTCTGTCAGCAGCGGCGCATTCTAAGAAGATCTTGGTCCGAAGCCTTGGTCGCGACTTGGAACCGGGACTCCAGAACCAGACAAACAAAAACATAATTGACAGCGGGGTCCTTGGGGCCAATCTCCAGCGCCAGGATCGAAGCGAGGCATCCACAGACCGTGCCCCTGGACAAGGTGCTCGCAAGAGCTCGGCGCCAATGCCAGAGCACGGCGGGCGCAACTCCGAACGTTGTCCAGGCGTGCGAGGCTTGGGGGGTGGCTCCCGTGAGAACGAGCTCAGGCCCCACCTTGCGCGGGGCAGCTCGCATTAGCTGGTTGGCGCGAGACGCGCGCCGATGCGCCTGGGCAAAGCGCCCAGCATGGCGAGGCTCGGAAATATTCGCGCCGCTGCCGCGCGCCACGCCCAAGTCGGCGGCCGCCGGCGCGACTTCGACGACGGCGCCGCTCGCGCCCGAGGTGGGCTGGATTTCTCGCGCCACCGAACGCTCAGACGCGACGATGGTGGATTTGGACGCCAGCATTGAACACCCCGCTCGCGCCGACGAGCAGGGGCGATTCCCGCGCGCGCTCGAGGTGGTCCACAACATCGCGGCGAATCCCTTCTGCTCCTTGGAGAACGTCGTCGATCTGGGTTGGCAACTGGACCAGCGAGCTCGCTCCAAGAGAGGCTTCACACATCGAGAACATCTGACACTTGGCAAAGTGTGGGGCGCGCCTCGCTCCTGCAACAAGACCCCCTGTGGGCAGGGCGGGGGGGCCACGCGCCCCGCGCCACGAAGGGCCAGCGGCCCCATGCGCAGGAGGGCAACCACAGAAAGGCACAAGGCAGGGAAGTCCAAATCCAGGGCGCGCGCCGCAACTTTACCCCGCCGGATGGCGTCGTGAAAAGCTTCGACATCCCATGCATTCGGCGCCGAACATTACTCGGGCAACGCAGATGAGAGGGCAGCCTCGCCCGCGCAACACCTGAGCAGAGCCCCCCCCCGTAGCGCGCCGTTGCCCCGAACGGCGGCGCCCCGCGGACTCGAGCGAGCCTCGGAGCAGACCTCCGCCAGACGAGATCTCGAGCGACTCCGCAGACGACCCGGCCGGGCGAGGAGGCCGGCGGCGCGATCCCTGCGCACAGCAGGCTTCCGCAAAAGAGCGACGATGGCTGTGAGCCACTGCCGTGGTCAAGCCACGGCAGGTTCGGCCTGCTGGAACAGCAAAGGCTGGCGACGGCCCGCCTCAGGCAGCCGCCAGACCTCGCGCCGACCAGCGCCATCGACGCCTGCAGCCTTGGTCGGAGAGATAGCTTGCAGAGCCGCCTCGAGACCAAGGGCGCCCTCGAGGGCGCGAAGTTGTTCGCGCTTCGCGCTTCGCGGTTCGGCCCCTCGTCATCCTCGCCCTCCTCTTCTCCCCTGGGAGGCGGCGCGAGAGCGCGACGTTGCTCGCACTTCGCGCTTCGCGCAGCGCGAAGCGCGAACTTGGGAGCCCTTGGAGACTGTCCGAGCACAGAGGAACCAGCTGTTCGCGGCGCGCGGGTTCCCGTGCCCGCTGCAGGGCCCGCGCAGCCTCGGCACTGCTAGAGCTCGTCGGCGACCGGAGTCTGTCCCAGCTCGAGCGCGTGGCCTCCATGAGAGCGAAGCTCCGTCGACAGTGGTGCCCTGGGCGTGTCGAGTCTCGCCGACCTCTGCCATCGGATCCTGCGCACGACGACAAAGAGCTCCCATGCCAGTGACCGCGTGCTGGCAGACCCAATCTCGAAGGCCATGTAGCCGCTTCTCGGCCACTGCTCGTTGGGCTTGGTCAGCTGCCTTGCCGGCGGCCTCCGCAATGGTTTCCAACGGTTGTTTGGCGATGCCCTCTAGCGTGCGAAGTGACCTGATCCATCTAGCCTTCCGCCGTTCAGGTAGAGGCACAATCTGTTATACATGAGTGGTGGCTGCCAATGCTGATGACCGACCTCGCAAGTGTCGAGCAAGTGGCGAGCCCCCCTGGCCAACCTTCACACGAGACAACTCAGCAAGATGATTAGCAAGCGTGGACCACCACCGCGAACTGCTGTCAGATATCGTTGGCCAAGGTTTGCCCCGTCCATGGCCTGTTTGATGGGGGCCTGCAAATGTCCACGACCCGGGTACTGGCGACGCTCCTGAGGGTGCACCTTAGACAACTCACAAAAATACAACTCCATGGTGTGGGCCCAGTCAGAAAACAAATCACCAATCCGAAGGGCCGCTTCTGGATCGACCTGAAATCCCAAGCTGCTCGTTGCAAAGCCTGGAGGCGTAGAACTTCGGGCCACCTGCTCCGTGAGACCACACCACAACTCTTCAGACGAGCCAGACCAACTGTTCTGAATACTTACATATGTGGAGAGATTCTCCTGCTCGGGGACGTGCTCTAACTCCTGAAGCTCTGGCGCATCCTCAGGAGGAGCCTCGGTGTCGCCCTCAGCTTCATTGTCGGTCCAGAAGTCCTCCTCCGCGCACTCAAGATGCAAGTTCTGCAGGACAGGTGGGCTCTTGATCGACAACTTCCTCTCAGCTCCCCATGTTGCTGGGGATGGCGCCAAGTTTGGACCCTCATGAGCCTGGTGGATCCGAGCGGCCACCCGAGCCTTCGATCTTTTGCTGTCGGGGTCAGGCTAGCGTTTCGGCCGAGCAAGGTGACCAAAACAGCGGGGGTCGCACTGTCCACGCCATTGCTCTAGCCATGTCGAAATCTAAGGAAACCTGCAAGCCATAATGCGACTTGCCAGCCTCCTCAACAGCTTCGGAACCCGCCTCAATGGAAGAGAGCAGATGCTGCGCCGACGCCGGCATGACGAGGTAGTCCAGCATACGCGCAGAACCAGTCGTGCATGCGTAGGTGGCATTGCTCGGAACCGCGACGACCCCGCCCGAGATCTCTAGCCATCCCGAAGCCGACAGCTCATTTGGCGTCATGTTCCAATCTCCGACCACCACCCACATGCCTTGGATTGTGGCAAGAAGCGCTCCAAGGTTGGCTAGCTTCTAGGCGATGCCTTTCGCTCCCGCTGCCGTAGCCATGTACGCGCCCACGACTGAGAGCGACTGGTACTGGGCCCTGCGCTGCATCTCGCCACCATGTCTCGGAAATGCAACCCGGGCTGCTCTGCCTGAGCCAGCTCTCGCAAGCCGGCCCGGTCGTGCGGCGACGCTGCCAAGTGTCGCAAGGAGGCAACTCGAAAGCGCCTGCGCGCGCCCATGGCAATGCCTCCAGCCTTCTCTCGGCGATCCATGGCGCACGCCGCAGACAGGACTCCGATGTATCCTGTCTTGCGCCAATCAGGCAGAATATCACTTGAGGCCGCTGGCCCCACAGGGGTCTCGGGGGCCACGATGATGTCCGCGCGGTGCTGCAAGGCAAGCGATTTCGCCGCTGGCCCCCAGCCGCCCAGGTTGCGCGCGCGCAGCTTCCTGATCCACGAACTTGTCGGGCCTCGTGGTCCCCGAACCTGACCGCGTAGCTGCCGCGCACGAGTCTCCAGCCCACCTCGCTGAGGCCCAGCTTCGTCGCAAACCTGGGGCCCCTGCTCCCTCGCGACCTCCGCCAGCTCGGTCCTGGTCCCGCTGGGCCTGCCTCTCGTGCGCATCTCCTCCGCACGGCACTCTGGGGGCGCATCGAGGGCTCTGCCCCGCGCGCTGCCCACCTCTCGGGTGCTCCCTGGGGGGCAGGGCCCAGCAACGCATTCGGCGACTGAGCCCAGCCCCTCGCGCTGTTTACCCCTTGGGTGCACCTTGAGGCTGTGGCTTGCGTTCTGACGCCTGCTGCCTCATGCTGCGCGGCGGCAGGGGCTTTGGCGAGGGCCGCTTTGGGATCGGCGGTTCGCGCCGAGGTTGGGCCGATCTCCCGCGCGGATCGACCCGCGGCCCCCGCCGTCCGCGCATGCACCGCGGGTAGCAGTGGCCAGAGGACCATTGCTCAAACAGGCCGAGCTCGAAAGGGTACTCGGCGAGAGTGGCTCGGCCCCCCAACCTTCATCGGATGACGGCCCACCGAGGCCAGGGGGCAACTGCAGGCTACATCTACGGCCGATCCAGCCGTGGCCAGCAAGGTCTCGGCGTCTTACTGCAGCTTGGTCTTAACCGCCTCCGCCTTGGCCTCCCAAGACCGCGCCGGAGGGTGCTGCGCCGCCGCTGCCGCCGCTGCCGCTGCTGCCGCTGCTCGCCGCGCCCGTGGCCTCGACCACGTTGGGGGTTGTGACGCCTGCTGCCGCGCCCGCCCCTGCGCCGCTGCCAGCGCCCTCAGGCTGCTGGTCGCCCCCCGAAGGTGGGGGCGAGGCGTGGCGGCGCTTCTCCGCAATCTTTAATGGTCGACAATGAGTCGCGATGCTCGCGCAGCTTCTCCTGCATGCCGCCGAAGGTGCTTTTGAGCGTCTCCGTGAGCGCGCCCATGACCAGCTTCTTTCGGCGAGCCAGCTCCTGCAAGTCGGCCCCGTGCATCGCGCCGTCCGAGTATTCAAACTCGGGGCCCAAGTTCAGCGCGAACACGGAATCGTCGGGCTCACTGGTGCCCACCGGCGAGCTGAGGTCGATCCCAGCCCCCGTCGGCGGCGACGCCTGGGCTGGCGGCGCCACCGTCTTGAGCACCTCCGCTCTTTCCTTCTCCGCCTGCGCCAGTGCCGCGGCCGCCTCCGACAGGGGGGCTTTTTGCGCTTCTCGAGCTCCAGCGCGAGGCGCACCTGCTGCGCGCGGACCTTGTTGAACGAGACCTGGGCCCGCTGGACCTTGGCCGTCACCTCGGTGACGCGTTGCGTCACTGGGGCGTCCCCAGCGCCGCGCGCCGCCTTGGATCCCTCATTGGCCGCGTCCAGGAGGCTCTGCGCCGCCCTAACCTGCTCGCTGCCAGGCTGCGCCCTGATGAGCTCCAGCAGTTGGCCCTTCATGGCCGAGCCCACGCCAGCGGCGCCCTTGCCAGCGCCCACGTCGTTGGCTTGCGCGGGCGGCGCTTTGTTGCTGAAGGGCGCCCCGCGCAAACGCGCGTTGCCGTCCTGCTCGAGCTTGGACGCCCAAGCCCAGCGGGGGCAAGCACTGCGCACCACCTTCTTCTGGTCCGTTCCTTTGCTTTTTGCCCGCGCCCTTCCCAGGTCGCCTGACACCGCCAGCCGCTGGCGGCGGCGGCACGCTCCAGAGCGGCTAAGTGGGCTGATTCGGCCCTGGCCACGGCGGCAGGCCGTAGAACGGGCGCGTCGGAGGCACGGGCGGCTTGTTGCATTGCAAGTCCGCGGAGAGAGGCGGCCATTCAGCGTTCGGGCCCAGCTCCTGAGCCTGCCGCCGATCACGGGCATTCTTTCCTTTTGGCATGTTTTCTATTGGCTTTTCGTCATCGTCACTCCTGAACTCAGGACGTCTCATCCCAGCCGATATGATAGTCGGTGGCCCAAATCGCTCCGCCGCGCCCTCTCGGCGCCGCAGGGGGTCGGGGCCAAAACGGCTAGGAGAGGGAGTGGGAGGAGGAGGAGGAGGAGGAGGAGGAGGAGGAGGCGGAGGAGGAGGAGTGGTAGGGAGGAGGAGGAGGAGGAGGAGGAGGAGGAGGAGGAGGAGGAGGGAGGAGGAGGAGGAGGAGGAGGAGTGAGGAGGAGGAGGAGGAGGAGGAGGAGGGGAGGAGGAGGAGGAGGAGGAGGAGGAGGAGGAGTGGGAGGAGGAGGAGGAGGAGGCGGAGGAGGAGGAGGAGAAGGACGAGGAGGAGGAGGAGGAGTGGGAGGAGGAGGGGGAGGATGAGAGAAACAGATCGACGAGCAGTAGTGACTAGTACGTGCATGCGCGTTTGCACACATCGGTGGTTGTGTTGGCAGCGTGCGTGCTGCATCTGGGCACGACAACCGCCTGGTTTGGACTGCCCTGTGGGTCGTGCCCGCGGCCGCGGCCAAATCCTTCTCCTCCTCCTCCTCCTCCTCCTCCTCCTCCTCTCGTGGTTGACCTGTCTGTTTCTGGGGCCCCCGAGCGGTGTGGTGACTTCACCGCGTGGTGAGCAAGTGCGGATTCGGGGTCACCGCGCAATGCCGGGGCCTGAGAGAGTCGTTCTCCGAGGCTTCCTCGAGCGGCCAGGGGCCTCCGAGGTCGTCGAACCGTGCGGAGGCGAGGTCTTCGGGGATCTCCGAGGTCGCCACGCGGTCCGTCACCGCACAGTTTTCGGGGCCCCGGATTTTCTCTCGCTCCAGGTTGGAGCTCAGTGAGCAGTTCATGTACGTCGAGGGCGTTGCACTAACCTTCCCATCGGGCCTCTACGTCGAGTTCGAGCGCGACTCCCAGAGGTTGGGAGGGCGAATAGTCATGCATGCAGCACCCATGCAAGCATTACGTTGCGTTGTTTCCTGCCGCCCTCCATCCAT